AATTAAGAAACTTATATTTTATAATATATATTTAACAGTGGTAAGCTTTCTATAATCAATTAAATAGTTACATATATTCATTTAATTTAAAAATTAATATGTATAATCTATATGAATAAAACACTAAATGTAACAATTCATTTTTGAAAATATTCATTAGAAATAAATAAAAAGTAGAAAATATAAGTTTTTTTTATCAAATAATTATAGATGTTACATCAACTTGAAAATTGTTATGCATAATTTATATGAATATAATACTAAATCTAACGGTTGGTTTTTGAAAATATTCATTAGTGATGGTGTTTTTGAAGTTCAGACTCTAATTTTTATTAGGAGTCAAACTGATATAGACTATTCTTTATTATATATATGAGTAGGGATTCACTTATATACAATTTTTATATACCACATTTATATAAAATTTTAACTATTTATCTTTTCACTTTCAATAATTAAGATTTATTCATATTTACTAAAGATAATTATATTTTTCACTTTAAATAGAGAGGTGAATGGTTAAGATTTAGTGTAAACATGGTGTATAAGACTTGAATGTGAATGTACAAATAAAATTTACATATAAGCATGGTTAATATATGAGGATAGTACATATAAGTTCCAACAACCAAAAAATCAATTTAGAGTCTCAATTTACATTTGGAAACTAAAATCTCAATTCAAAATTCAGAAATCTATTTTATTAAATATTGATGCCTAGATTTTGAAACTAATTATATCTAGATATTAACATTAAATATAGTAGATTTCTAACTTTTGAATTGAATTTTAATTAAATAAAATAATATTGTTTAACAGTGGAACTCTAATTAATTTTGAGAGTCAAGGCTGATATATACTTTTCCAGTTTTCCCTATATATATAGTTCATATCAATCTTGACTCCCAACAAAAATTAGAGTTTCAACCTTAAATAATGTTATTTCATCTAATTTAAACTTAATTTAAAATTCCAAAATCTATCTTATTAAACGTTGACATATGAATTTGGAAACCAATTATATTAAAATATATAATCAGTTTCTAAATAAAAATATCAATACTTAATAAAGTAGATTTCTAAATATTGATTTAGATTTTAATTAAATGAAGTGACATCATTTAAGGTGGAACTGTTTTTTTTTTTTGGGAGTTGGGACTAATATGTATTTTTTTTTCTATATATATAGTGCATATGAGTCCCGACACCCATAAAAAATTAGAATCCCAACTATACATGATGTCATTCATTTAACTAAAATCTAATTCAAAATTCAGAAATCTCCCTTATTAAATATTGATTGATACATTCAGAAACTAAATACCTAATTATGAATTTAGAAATCCATCTTCCATAATTATGGATACATATATTTGAAAACCAATTATATTAAAATATATAATTAGTTTCTAAATTTAAGTATTAATATTTAATAAGATGGATTTCTTAATTTTGAGGTCCCGTTTGGTATAGCGGTTTTGGGGTAGCGATTAGTGGTTTTACCTAAACCACTAAGTATAGTTGTTTGGTAAATTTATATATTTCGAAACCGTTATAAATGAAGTGTTTAGTAAAATTTTTATTTAATAGTTTGAGACTAGCGGATAACGGTTAGAGTCCAAACCGCTAGCGAATTGAAAAAGTTAGTTTATGTAACTTTTTGTACCAAACCGCTAATGGATTAAAATTTTTTAATTTTATTTACAAATTTATCCATTTTAATTTTTTAATTTGTGGTCACAT